TTTTCATGGGCCATTTTAGTGTACCCTATCTTTTACAGCTATAAAATATTAATGATGTGGTAATTCACTACCACTATCTTCTCAGGCTTTTATTTTGTTCTCAAAGTTCCCTGCACTACCAGCATTCACAGCACCTCAGAACTTAGAAATGCAAATTTCTGGGCCTCATCCTCCGGAAATTCTGTTTCTTTGTTATGGGGTGGGGCCACAGCGGCAGCAGCAGGCAAGCAAGCTACGGAGGAAGGGGTGTAAGAGTGGGCACCTCCTGCCAACCCAGAACCTCTTGGGTGTGGCCACAACATTAGTAACAAAGAAGCAGAATTTCCGGAGGATGAGGCCCAGAAATCAGGATTTTAAAAAGATTCCCAGGTGATCCTAATGTGCAGCCAAGGTTGAGAACCACTGATCTAGAGCCTTGATAATGCCTTAACCCTAACATTAGACTACAGTGGGGCCTTGACTTACGAGTTTAATTCGTTCCGTGACGGAGCTCGTAACTCAAATTACTCATATGTCAAATCAAAAAGTGAACGAGTGAGACGTGATGCTGGGCTGATGTTGTGGTGTTCACTGTGACATTCGCTGCACCAAGAGGCAGTGCGGTATCTGAAGCTGGCTCGTAACCCGAATTTTAGCTCGCAACTCGAAGCATAAAATCGGCCAAGAGACGGCTCGTATCTCGAAAAACTCATTAGTCGGGACACTCGTAAATCAAGGCCCCACTGTATATCATTCCTGTTTACATTGATATCATTGATGCTAATTCAGTAAAACCAAGATTTATTGAGCACCCATAGGACCCAAACACCACAGTAAATATGGCACTACAGAGGTGAGCCATACAGACACATAACCTGACTGAGGCGTTTCAGTAAGGATTTAGAATTGGGTTAATACTTGCCTATCCTTTACCTTTTGAAACCTGGTCTGAGTTTGTAACTGCATTTTGTTCAGATATATACTGTATATAATATGTAAACTACTTATGTACAAATAGTAGAGGGCTGTTCTTTTATATTAATGATCTGATTATATTTTCACATGAGCTGCATAGATGGTGGCCCAGATAATCAGTCATTTTCAACCACCTTACTGATGGATGTGTACTGAACCAAAATCAGTGTTCTTTGTCAAAGTTTACTATTCATAGCATTTAAACACCAGTCATAATTCTAGAATAGCATATGTAAATTTCTTTAAAATTTCTGATAAAATGTGTGCTTTTTCAGTTTACAGAATGTCCTAATCTATACTACTACAAGGGTAATATGCTAATTAGTCCGAGTCGACCAGACATCTTCCAGTTGTTCAGTCCTCCTTCTGGACAAAGCCACGGTGGCAGGGGCCGAGGCAGAGGCAGTTAGGGGTGATCAGGCAGGCAGGCAGGTGAGCCATTAGGAGCCATTGGTCCCAGATTGCGAGAGGGATGTCCGACCAGCTGGACATCCCCTGAGGCATCCTAAATTGGAGAGGGTGCAGGCAGGGCTGGGGCAACCACCCCCACCCCCCCCCATGCACAAATTTCATGCACCAGGCCTGTAGTGTTAAATAATAAAGACTTACAGATTCTTAGCCGCAATATGAAAGAGAACTTAGAATTTACCCAGGTGAACCTCCCTCAGAATCCCTATGCCTGCATCCCTGGATGGTAGTCATTATCCCTCTGCTTGCTCACGTCCACTGGCAGGGCTCTTGCTCCTTTAGATGCAACCTATTTGTAAGTGAGTAGCCAGAATGGAGTCTGTGATTTGCCATCTGCTCTGTCCCAGGTCAGTGGCTGTAATAATTCAGCAGTACACCTTCTATAAAATTTGACTGCAATTAAAATGCACTCTAAAGTAAGTGAAGTGTTCTGCCAAAAGAGAGCTATGCTTAAAATAAAATTAAAAATAAATTTAAAAAAATCTGGAAATAATCCCAGTAAAAGAAAGTTATATTTATTATAAAATATCTCTGTGAGCTGATTCAGATTTCTTTAGTTTTATATTTCTTGTATTCTGAGAAGCACAATCACGTTAATACAGAAAAACATGATAAATGTATGGTAGTTTAAAAGAGGAGAATCACCCCTCCTTTGTTTTTATCGCTTGTATTTTTCTTATCCTTTAACATATGTAAACAACAACAGATGATATTTCTAGATACTTACTGATATCAAGTGACCTGCAGGTGACTAGGGTCCTATGATATATCTGAGAACTCAGTTTGACAAAGCTCCTGTCACTCTAGGAACTAGTCTAAAGCAGGAGTCGGCAAATGTTTTTTTCTATATACGGCCAGATAATAAATATTTTCTGCTATGTGAGTCCTAAAATCTCTGTCATAACTGCTCAACTCAGCACTCCTAGTGCAAAAACAGCCAAAGACATTAAGTAAACAAATGGGTATGGCTGTATCCTGATAAAACTTTATTAAAAAAAACAAAACTATGGACTGTGTTTGGCTGTGGGCACTCGATTGCCAACTGCTGGTCTAAAGAGGGAAAGCAAGGCAGACAGGCAGGAGGAAAAAGAATGCCTGGTTTTTGTGTGATAAATTGACCATTGACTGTTGCACTTTGATGATAACACAATGTGGTAGATTATCTCTACTTTTGGTTATACATTTGATTTGATTTGATATTGATATTTTTATTTTTAAGATGTTTCTTTTAGTGTTAAATATGAACCAAAATGGCCTAAACGTTTCCCTCAGCTGGGCACAACTCTAGGCCTCTTTCTGCCTGTCGGCCCCCGCTCTCCCCCTCACCTTTGTCCTTGCAGAATCCAGAGCCCTAACCCCAGAGGCTCTAACCTCACTTTTCTTAGAGCATTTCCTTCGAAACCTTAGAATTATAAATTCTTTCTCTGACCTTTTAAGATGTAAACTTTTAAAAAGACACTTGCCAGTTTTACAACCCAGGGGTGGCTTTCTCAAGGATATGGGAGAGCCAGAGCTCTTGAATATAATCATCAAGAAAATAGGCCCCTGTGCCCAGTCTCCATGGAGAGTTTCTAACTTGGGTTGGGGCCTTGCCCCCAAGTTGTAATGCTCCATCCTGTCATGAGGATAAGAGAATATTTATTTTTTCCTTTGGGTAAGGCCAGTTCGCAAATACAGATGACTAGGATTCCTCTACTCTAACTCCGAATCCCTACCCTCCATTCCCCACCTCAGGCCTTGAAATCTTTTCCGTCATTTATGTCACTAGACTTGAGTTCAGACTGAATTCTGGATTTTCTTTCATTGAAGAAAACTTTCCTAATTCTGTCCACTGTCATTTTTGCCTTGACAGCACCCATCTGACACCATAGATATTTATTGCAATATTGACTCTCTTCCCTTAGCTCTGCTGTACATCGTCATGGTTAATTTTATGACGGGGAACTTTTACTTCTTCATTTCTTCACCTTTTTTAGCCATCATCCTAACCCCCTTCCATCTGGCAACCATCAA